ATATATAAAACTGCCATCAGTGATCCAGTCCTTCCTGAAAGGGCTATTTTATTTGATTCTAGGTGTTGAGAACTATAAGGAAAGCAGAGAAATGTGGGAGAAAGCGTCCAAGAACACCCTGCTAGATGTGAACAACAACAAAGATGATCTCATTGTGCTCTCACAGGTTCCACAGGGACCCTGTCCAGCACTGTCTCACATATCCTCCAAGGGGGAACAGACTCCTAACCCCCATAGCTTTCAGCATTTATGGTATGTTAACTTCTCCAGTGTCTTCTATCAAGAGGTATTTTATTTCAACAAATAACAATGGTGTGGTTGTTTAAATATAACCACAGGCTTCTCACTTGGTGGCTGTTGCAGATGCTGTGGCATAAAAGCCAAATAACCCTGTGGCCCATCTCCAAGGGAGGAGCCCCACAACACTGAGTATGCTCTTGGCTCAAGAATCTACTTTAAAAAACTTCTTAGAGCGAATCAGTTCTGCTGACTGGGAAATGCACCATGATACTGGTGCACCCCAGGACAGGTTCTGATTCTGCAGGCTGACTGGCCACACTTACTGGCAGACTTGGCAGGTGACATCAGACTGCAGCCCACCCGTGAAGATCTGGTCAATGATGCAGTTGCAGTGATTAGGGTTGTTGGCCTTCTTCCCGCTGTCATCACCTGGGGCAAGAGCAGAACTTTGTGATTTGAACTGTGCACTACTAAGTTAGCAGATGTAAAATCTCCACACCTCACCACAGAGGCAGGAGGAAGCCAGGAGGCTGGCACTCTGGAAAGTTCACAATGCTCAACAGAGACTTGGCAGAGGAGCTTGTCATTATTTCAATTTGATGAGTTATCCAAGGACCTGGTTTCCAAGGCTAATTTTCATTATCCTCCCTCTAAGATGTCCTTAACAAAGTATATTTGATGCCCAAGAACTTGGCAGGTAAGGTTGATTCCCTTTTTCATGTATGGAGTAAGTGAAAAAATAGCTTTCAAGTTAGCCTAACATATTTTGGGTCAGATACACTATGAAACAATCTCTACCTCCCTGCTGATGAGATAAACTGGTATTCTCCTTCAAAGAAGTCTTTCAGCTCTGGCTCTTCTTCCTGGGTTCCTACATCCAGAACAGCTAACTCTCTGTTGGCTGGGGTTCCCTCCTACCCTTTCTGTTCACTAAACATTTAACTTATATATGAATGTACAGTGAAGCAAATATGAAAATTAGTAAAGTATAATACACATTTGGAACATGTATCCTATATAATGTTTATTCAATTTAAAAAGTAGAATTATCACAGAAGAATGAAGAATGGCCCGAGTCCTCTGACAGCTGCTTCCCAGAGTTTAAGATTTAGGGGAAAATACTGCCCCAAAGAACCTCAAATTTATATGACAAAATGTCATTAGGACAGGGAAAACTACGGTACTTACAGGAAGGTGCAAAGAAAGATGAACTGGTGGGTCAAGTCATTTCCTCTGAGTTTCCCTCTTCTAGCCCCAGGATCTGTTGTACCCCTGAACTATCACCCCTCCCCTGACTTCCCAAACCCTCAAGGGGCACCATCCTCTGGGGTCAGCCCATGCAGCTATGTTATGGGGGGTCTAGACTCCAGGTCTGGGAAGCAGCAGCAGGGCTTGGCTTTTGTGCTCTGTCCCCAGCCCTCTACACCACAGCAGCAACTGGTCCTTCTAGAGGAAGGACCAGTTCTCCCCAGGTGAGAATGGCGGTGATGATCAGTAACATTCAGAAGACTTAAGCCTGGTAACTCAAGGATCCTCAGAGCAGCCACAGCAAGCAGAGGCTTCAGAGGATGGTCCGGCACTGAGGGGTGTTAGGATTTTGCTGCTCACTATGGCAGGCCACAGAGGACCCCACCACCATGCTGCTCCACCCCCAGCAAGGCCAGAGGGCAACACATAAAACTTTCCTTTTTTTGAAAACAAACTACAAAGAACCTTATGGAACATTCATGACATTTCTCCTATTGGAAGAAAAATAAGAATGAAGCCTATAAAACACAAATCATACATGTCCCCTACATGATTTGCACAAGCAGGCACACATAGTCCTTCACCTTGTTTCCTCTTTAAAGAAAATGCCTGTCTCCACCTTGGGTGAAGGCCACTCACCTTTGCAATGTCGGTGCAGGACGTCTAGTGCCGCAATGAGAAACTCATGCGCATCCTGCTGTTCGTAGCCGGCCAGGTGACGTGCGTGTGTCCATACCAAGTGCAGCAGCTTGTATGGGATGTGTGGAGACCGGTGCCCGGAGTAAAACTGGAGAAAAGGAGGAGTGATAACTTACAGGAACACAGGCACAAAGTACCTTCCTTAGGAAGAGGACTCAAGATCCTAAATTACAAATTCTAAAAAAAATCATGAATTAAAAAATAGCACAGTAGGCAATATGCTATTATTGATAGGCTAGAGGTGTGACTCAGTGGTAGAGTGCCTAGTTCAAACCCCAGCACTTGGGGAAAAAAAGAAAAAAGTCAGTCACAAAGTTAGCTTTGTTCTTTCAGGTTCAAAAAAGATTCACACACTTGGACTCACTGACAGTAATTGGCAACTGTCTACAAAGCAGCAGCATGGGAGCAAGGAAGCAAGGAAGCAAGACTCTCAAATTCTTCTTTGACAAGATCAGGATAGATATATATATTTTTTTGTACTGGGGATGGAACTCGGGACCTTGCACTTGCAAAGTGGATGGAGGAACCTCTGAGCTAAATCCCTGGCCCTAGGGTTTATATTTTTAAGACAATAAAAGGTGAGATATGGGGAAAGTTGTAACTGAACGTTCCTGATCCAAAAATCCAAATTCCAAAATGCTCCATAACCTGGAATATTTGAGCACATGATACATTTTGGAGTATTCGTATTTTTGGGTCAGGGATACTCAACAGTAAAATCTATGCAAATACTCCAAAATGCACAACACTGAAATCTGAAACACTTGTGGTCACAACCATTTCAGACAAGAGATATTCAGCCTGTGTGTCATCTGGTAAAAAGAATTAAGATCAAATGTCAACAGATGGGATGAAGAGGCTGAAGCACACTGAATGTGCTGATCAGTAAATGCTGACCTAAAGAGTAATGTGCCCAGCCACCCTAGGAAATCACTTTTGAAAGAGATTTAGGCTATTACAGAATTCCTGTTAATATGCAAAGTTTTCATTACATTAGCTATAAAACACCTGGAGTAGATTATATGGTATAAATCCAACAAAAAGGCCAATCTGTAAACAAACAAATAACAAAACACTTCCCTGTATATATGATGAGAACATTCTCACAGTCTAAAATAACCAATGTAGGCTGAATATCCCTTATCCAAAATTTGTGGATCAGGATTTCAGATTTAGAAAATTTTTTGTACATATCTGTATCTATATATAATATATGATAATTAGGGTGGGACTTAAACCTCAGTATAGCCTGAAAGTAATTTCATTAATATTTTAATGATTCTGTGCATGAAATAAAGTTTGTGTACACTGAACCATCCTCACAGGTCAGGTACGGAATTTTTCAGTTGTGGCACAGAGTTGATACTCAAAAAGTTTGGATTTTGGAGCATTTTTGAGTCTCAGATTGGGGGCGCTCAACATGTACTAGCAATAAACAATTAGAAACTGAAACTAAAAATCATGCCATTTGTTGCAACACCAAAAACATGAGGTACTTTGAGGTAAATAGAATATGTGCAAGAGCTACACAATAACAACACTGATGAGAGAAATTAAAGACCTAAACAAATGGGAGTCAGATGATGAACATAAATGCTAATTTTCACATACAAATCGGCATACAAACAAGTACTATGGTTTTATTCTTCAACACCAAAACTCAAAACCATCCTGAGCTGAGAAGTGGCCAATCATATTGTGGTCCACCCACATGACAGGTGCTACTCAGCAACACAAGCCTTTGATGCAACACACTTGGAAAGGCTTGATAATGGAGGAGGAAACCCACCTTCCTTGAGAATGAAGCAAGAATGAGGCCTGTGCCTCCCTGAGTTTTAGTGTGGCAGACAACAGAAGTTGAACCACCAGTGTTTACAGGAACTAATGTCTTCTACCAGTTGAGTCTGCCGAGCCGCTCTGAAGAGCTCTTTCTCTTCTTGGGTGGGCCACATGCCTCCAAAAATCAGGCCAAAATCCCCTTATCTAGCACTTCCTTTTGTAAAAACTGCGTCTTCTATAATAATTGCACATTTTAAATATTTATTCTCTATGTAGATTGTGGAAATTTGCCTGCCCTGATTACAGTCACTGTATGCTTTTTAAAAAGGTAGAAAAAAGCACTCTATGGCAGAGGCGAGTGGTGCTCACCTCCTGAAAAAGCGAGGACATCTCACACACCAGGCAGGAGCTGGGGCTCTGCATCTCACAGCGGTGCCTGTCAGACAGGAAGAAGTCCCTAAGGAGTGGTGTGTGGGTTAGAGCCTGGACAATGCAGTTCATGAAGCACGTGTTTCCAAGGTTGATCAGCCCTCGCAGACCTGGGCAGGAAGCCAGAGAGCAGGTGTTACTTGTGCACTGAGATATGACACACAATGCTGGATCCCAAGGGCTTTTAGGTCTGTGCAGTACGTCACTTTCTTTTATTCATGCATTCAAGAAACAAAGGAAAAGCAAGAAAAAATGCAGTTTTTAAAATTTTTTCCCCGTTACCAGGGATTAAACCCAGGGCCTCCACACTAAGCTATATCCCCAGCCTTTCTTTTCTTTTGGCACCAGGGATCGAACTCGGGTCCCTGCACTTGTGCAGCAGGCAGTGAAACCACTGAGCTAAATCCCCAGCCCCAGCCTTTCATTTTTGAGACAGAGTTTTGCTAAGTTACCCAGACTAGACTCAAACTTAACTGTCTCAGCCTGCCAGAGTATTTTCTAATTTTTATACCATTTTTATATGAACTGTGAGGAATGTTCACTGCCATCATTCCCCTCTCATTTGGCCACTGTATGTATTTTCTATAAAAACAGCCAGGTCAGAATAGAGCCTTAACAACCCAAAATGGTTTTTTAAATATTCTAAAATGCATTTCCTCATTTCTTAGAACATCATGCAAATACCCTTACACACAGACACATCATTTCTCTCCCCGAGATCAACCTGGCCAGAGTAACAATGTACGTGAGTCCTGTGACATTTGTAGACTCTCAGGGCCATGGGGCAGGGATGGTCTTTACTCATCTCTATGTGCCTCAAGCCCATGGCAGACCCTGTAGAGAAGAGGTGCTCAGACCTGGATGTTGAGCAAATTGATAATGGCATGCAATTAAGTGGGGCTTAAAAAGAATTGTGTTGTATTGTGAAGCCCTGAGAAAGAAGCACAACAGAGTGTGAAAAAAAGAACAGAGATCTAAAATGTCCTCCACTCACCTATGGTACAGTTGGAAGTGATCTTCCTCCTTTTTGGGTTGTGTTTCAGCAGTTCCAGCTCCCGCTTGGTTGGTTCCCAAGTTGAAAACTTCTCTCCAACACCTAAACAGATGAAGGATAGTTTCAGGTGCTACTAGCTAAATTTTCCTTTACAGAATGTTTTAAAACAAAAGTTTTTATATACGATTTATCAAGGTGTGTTTCACAGAGGGGATTCAAAACATCAGGGCTTTCTAACATGCTGCTGTACAGACAGGTAACCAGATCATTTAAATTTAAAGGAGCTTCTCTTAAGTGTCTTATGAATACACCATGTTTCCTGTCACAAGGAAACCATTAGCCATTAAAGCCATCCCAACACTAATGCAAAAAATTTTTTCCTCAAATGCCTTCAATCCTTGAGTACAGTAGCAACTCAGATGAAGGATTTTCCAGCTAATAAATGAAACTGACAGGAAGCATATTTTTGAGCAAACTAAATAGACCCAGTTGCTGAAAAGCTGTATGCTATAAAGAACTGAAAAAGAAGACAGTAATGGTGTAAATGCTTGTAAGAATCATATTTTATCCTAATACACACCCTATTTACTCAGAGGTACTTGATCCATGGTGCCTAAAATGTTTGCATAATTCAATAAACTCTAAAAGAGATAGCCTCTTATGGTCAGATAGAATTGCAGAATGACCTTAGAATTCTGTTTTAGTCTGGGATGTGTATTTGTTGGCCCTGTAATTTAAGTGGTCCCATAATTTAAGTGTCGTGCACAAAGAAATATAATATACACATACATATAAATATACATATAAATATATATGCATAAATATAATTTGTACATATGTAGTTATAATGTTATTATATTTTTGAGGGGGAAAACAACAGGAAATACAAGTTGGAGACTGTTTCCAGAAATGATCTGCTAAACACGAAATAATTCTGATCACCAAGAGCACCTATTTCTATTCTTCCATTTTCAAGAATGAGGGTGTTTTCAATGCAAAATAAGGCAAGAATGTATAAAGCAGGGACGCGGTTTATGGACTCCCTTTGCACACAGTGATGAGTCTTACTGCTTGAGTGGAGGTGCTCACCCACCAACTAGGGCTGACTACACGCAGCAGCCTTATTGCAAATCACTGTAAGCCTCTGTAGGGATTGAAATTGAAGAAAGAAAAAAATCAGGGAAACCAAGGAGAAATAAAAAGAACATGGCTACACAATGCTGGTGTACCTCTGACTCTATATAGCTAATGAGAGTGTACATGACGACAGGGAAGGGAGCAAGTGGGCAGTGCAGATGGGCAGCAGAACCACAGATGGGCTGCTTCACTTCCCATCTGGCAATGTTACTCTGCAGACAGATTGAGCATCACCCAAATGATGCAAAGCTTTACAAGATTCTACAATTCAATTGGTGAAATAGTCTACCCTACTAGAAGGAACAAGATACATTTATTTTTAATCACGTTAGAGAGAATGCTTCCTGGAACACTGGTGGTGAGGCCAAACCACTCTTTGGGGATTTCCGGGGTTGCAGCAACCATCTCCCAGGTGAGACAGAAATGTGACCCTGTTGGGCTGGGTTCAGCTCCAGTCTGGAAACATGCCCTTAACTGAAGAAGAGCATCTCCTTCTAGAGTACGCTCTTCTTGTCTTCAGGAGAGCCCCTCAAGGCAGTGCTTCAGGCACCTGTGCGGTCCACCACCCCACCCACCTCTGTGCCCAGCTGATACCTCTGTGTCTTCCATCAATTGTGACCTGATCTATGCAGATGCACCTGCTGCCTCCCACTCTCACTTGGTTTCTGGTATTCCCTGTTTCTGACCAAGTTCTGCTCTCAACAGATATGAGGGAACTGCAGAATTATGAGACAAATCAGGGAGGTAAATTTAGGCAGAACCCAACCTTGAATCTTCCAAGCCTTCCGCTGTTCTTCTTTGGCAATTATTTCCATGTCTTTGTCGTAGATGTAGTCCTGACACAAAAAGCAATATATACCTCCATATGTAAGGTCAATGGCTGCAAAGAAAGGGGGGTAGAGACAGAAAATTTAATTCAACACAAAGCATTAGTGCTTCAGGACTCAATTAAACATGTAAGTCAAGTTTTCTAACACAGTATGATATTTAAAACATGGGTACTTAATATTTTTAGTTCATAAGGATTCCAGGGTAACAATGCTTTACTACATCTGGAATTCCTGACACTATCACAAAAAGGAAGGAAACAGCAACTTACTACTACTTTTGTTGCTGGGGGTTATTAGCTCCTCATACTCTGAGGACAGAGATAAAATTGTTTCTACCTAGACAGTCCTGACTTCTTGGCCCAGAGCTGCCTGCTAACCATCAGTGCATAGCTGTACTTTCTCAACTGGAACACATAAAACAGGACTCGTACCTGAGCTCTTAATTATTTTAACCTGAAGATAAAGTCCTTTGAGCACCTGGAAGAAAAGTACTCTAATTCAACAATTAAAAAAAAGGGCAGGGGATCCATCATCAGACATGTAGGAGACAATGCAGCAGAGTAAAGAACACAGACTGACTAGGAGAAGTGGCACACATCTGTAATCCCAGCACTCTGGGAGGCTGAGGCAAGAGAATCACAACTTTTAGCCAAGCAACTCAATGACTTAGTGAGACTCTGTCTCAAAATTAAAAAAAAAAAAAAAAAAAAGAAAAGAAAGAAAGAGACAAAGAGAGAAAGCAAGCAAGCAAGCTGGGCATGTAACTCAATGTAAAGTCTCTGGAATTAATCCCCAGTTTAAAAACAAAAAAAAGACTGACAGTAACTAGAATTAATACTGGCTCTGTCACTTGCTAGTCACATACCTTTCCTAAGTTACTCCACTTCTCTGAACCTGTTTCCTCCCCCCCCCCCATTAAGTTTACTGGTACATTTTAGGTATAAAAATACAGTTACATTCATCACTGGGATCTTGCACCATTACATGAGCATCTTGGTTCTTATTTTTTTCCCCTTCCCCTAACCTCCCTTCACCCCCTCCACCCTTCCCTATTTGCAAAGACTTTGTTTCCATTTTTTTCCTTTTCTCAT